GGTGTTGTCATCGCCGGAATGGTAGCATCGATGCCTATACAGCTGAAACCGCGAAATCGTCAGCAGTTTAGTTTCCTATCCTCACTGAATTGGCTCTGCGCGTTATCAGATCTGGTTATGAACAAACTATGATAATCGAAGGAAACTGAACATGAATATCTTTTTAAGGCCATTTGCAATGAAGGATTGTTTTATTTATGGACTCACTTTTTAAGTTCCTGTATTATTATTGATTCGAGACATAACGGTGATCATGGCTTTTGTGTTTGAAGCCGGTAGATCAGATTAAAAGAGCATTGGTAGTATTTTGTTTTCGCTTATTCTTATCGAAAAGGTGGAAGGAAGATAATGTGCACAAATTTCAAAATATGATATATCAGTTATGGACAGCAAATGATATTCAGGCGCCACCTACAGCCGGTATCAGTTTGGCATGTTCTGTTTGGCTATGAGTAGTGCTTCTATGATGGGCACACTTTATTGGACTTTATTTGATGCTGGATCTTTTACATAAGATGGTGGCTAGCTGCTTGCTCCCGGTTGACCGTTGTTAGTTGTTGAGTAAAGTTTTTTACACTTCAATTTTTTCTTCTTAAATTTAATTTAATTTTGTGATTTAACTTAGTAACTTGTTTCCTTTCACTTCCGTTCCCTGTGGTAAATAACACAACAAGAAATGATTAAAAACTGAAAAATTTGCCACCAGGCGGTTCAATTCCAATTATTTGAAGCTTGTCTAAAGGCATGTTTCAACAACTGGTGTGAAAAAATACAATATAGCCATAACCTACATAAATTGTCCTTCTAAATTATAACGGTCAAGGGGGTGCAATGTTGCTTTCTTTGGAAGCGTGCTTCTTCCTTGGCTGCCGTTCATCAAGATCTATGGACAGTCTGATTTCAATGACATTAACAAATTCAGTGAGTGCAACAACTTTGAGCGAGAGCGTTTCAAATGTTCCTTCTCACCCTCTTCAAGCGGAATGATCGTTTTTCTCTCCTTCCAGCTTGATGATATCTTTTCTCTTTCCACCTATCAGTCTAACTTTAGCCCTTACCGTCCTCCAAACCATTTCACAATTTCACCATTCACACCGTTCCCCTGTGTGCCTCTATCTTCGATGATCTGATGCCGGCGGGACGGACCTTACCCGTGAGGACCAAGACCGCACTTTCTTATTCCTGTTTGAGCAACGGTGAGTGGACACTTCTCTTTGACGCATGGAGTTGTCTGCAGCAATTTTTTCAGATAGAATGTGTTTCAGCTCCTTCAGACATTACGCACCATCCTCGGTCTTCAGTGCCGTAATCCTCAACTGATAAAATGCTGACTCCATCCTGCATCATTGACTACTTATGCGGTCTTTGGCTGTTTTCTCTAAGATATGGTTTTGCGGTCTTTGGCTGCCAGATGTACACATGGCGTTTCTGATTTCATCGCGCAGGCGAGATAAAACCAAACGTTAGACGTATTACGGTAAATGTCCTCGTAGGTCTGTATACCAACATTCAGGCTAATATCAAGGGTGGAATCAGAAAACATGCTGTAGAGTA